TGCTTCCTAATTGCACATATTTCTTTTTCTTGTTAAAGATCAATTTTTAAAATCAAACCTTATCATTTTGAAATTATCATAGACATGTTCCCCTGTTAATGTATCTCATGCACTCATATTTTCTTCTTTTCTCTGTCATAGTAACTTACAATGTTTATTCATTACCTCTGCTTTAAAAAAAAAACATTATTGTGGACCAGAACAGAGACAAAATAGAGGCCCATGGTGAGAGAGTTCTCTTTGAAATACAGATATAAGAAAACCCTGTCATATTCAGAGGTGACTATGAACAGAAATATTCCCTATCTAATCACAACCTAACATGTAAATTACACATTGCATGGAAAAATGACCCTGGCTGTGGTCCCGCGTTTGTTAGGTGGAGAGGGAGCTAAGCATCCTGTGATCCGTGCTCTGACTGTGGTCACCGCCTAAGCTCTTGCTTCAAGTCCCTAGCCTCTTGTCTTCCCACCTACACTAATGCAATTAAGATAACCTGCAAGGAGTCTTTAACAGTGAGTGTCACAGTTTACTTGTAAGGAGCTTGGGTTAGATACCGTAAGAAAGAGTGAGTGAGGTAGCCTGTCTTCTGCTCCTTGAACATTCCCCTGTCAGTGCTACTTGGATTACAGAGCTAAGAAGATGGCAGGATGCTTACAGCAAATAATGCTCTTCCGGAAGGCCTGACTTCAGTTTCCCAGCCCTGCATCACGTGGTTTCTTCCCCAATGTTATCTTTGCCGTGATGAAAGGACTTGTTTGGCTCATTCTTCCACATCACTGTTCATCACTGAAGGAAGTCAGGACAGGAACTCAAGCAGAGCAGGAACCTGGAGGCAGGAGATGATTCGGAGACCATGGAGGGAGCCATTTAAACTGGCTTGATTCCCATGGTTTGCTCAGTCTGCTTTCCTATAGAACCCAGGACCACCAGCACAGGGGACTGGGCTCTCCCACATCAGTCACTAATTAAGAAATTCTCTACAGGCTTGCAGCCCAATCTTGTGGAGGGATTTTCTTAAGTGAGGTTCCCTCCTCTCAGATGTCACATTGACATAAAGCTATCAAAATAGGCAATTGACAACTGGTTGTAACTCTGGCTCCAGAGACCTAACACCTCTGGCCTATGCCCACTCAGATTCGAAAGTAAATATTTTAAATGCCATTCTTTGAGCACAACTGAGTGCAGATTTTCATATTAATTTGTTAATATTTTCCAGGGAACTTTGTCCCTGAAATGACTCCTGTGTGCGGTTGCTTGGCCCTCATTTCTGTCTGTGGGCTGTGAGGGCAGAATAGGGTGTTGTATACTCCCCAACTGCACTCTCACATGGCTGTTGCCCGCCAGGGGTGCTCTACAAAAGCAACATGTTAATCTGAACTGTCCATCCGCCTCTCCAGCCCCACCGGCCTGTTTTAAATGATATCTAAGCATGTACTTGAAAGTGCTTGCAAAGCAAGACTGACAAGTCATTATGCATCTTCCAAATGCTGCTTTTTAAATGTTAAAATTTTACTTCCAGTGATAGGGGGATGAATCCATAGTAAAATGCTTGCCTTTCAACCACAAACACCTGAGCTTAATCCCCAGAACTCACATAAAAGAAATCTGGGTGTGATGTATGTGCTTGTGATCCCAGAGCTGGAAACGCAGACCCATGAACTCACTGGTCAGCCAGCCAACCTGTCCTGCTTGGTAAGCTCAAAAAAAAGTGCCCGAAGAAGAACACCTGAGGTAGTTACTCCTCTGGCCTTCACATGTACTCACATACACACATGAACACATGCACAAAGACCACTTCCAACGCTTAAGAATTTTTTAATTTAAAAAAGTTTTTGAGAATTTCATACATGAGTACATTATTCACATTTCCATCCATCCTTCTTCTAGCTCCAACTCCTCAAATTCTTGACCTCTTGTTTATTATTGCTGTGTATGTGTGTGTATGTATGTGTGCGCATGTGTGTGTGTGTGTATGTGTGTGTGCGTGCATGCATGTCTGTGTGTAGTTTACTTAATGTTGCTCAAAGCCAGGGAGGGGGCAGTCCACTTGGAGTTGAATAACCTATCTGAGGAAGCCATATTCTACCTATTTCAGTAGCCGTTAATTGCCTGTAACTCTTCTTCTAGGGTGGAATCTATAATTTTTATTTTATTTTATTTTTTATTATTTTACAAACCAACCACAGTTCCCCCTCCATCCCTTCCTCTTCCCTGAAACTTTTATAATTCTTATATTACACTTTAGTGTGTGTGTGCCATGGCAGGTCAGAAGACAACTTCCTGCAATCATTTCCCTCTTTCTACTGTGTGGGTCCTGGAGACTGATTCCAGCTTGTCACACTTAGCAGCAAGCCCCTTTACCTGCTGAGCCACCTCACCAGCTCAAGGGGGAGATTTTTACAGAGCTATAAAATGTGCATTTGCCAGGTCTTTCTTTAGAAAGAAGTCCGTCTTCCCTCCCCTTACTGTTAAGGTAGGAGACTCAGCTGGTAGTCTACTTCGTATTAACCCTCCCTCCCGATGAAGCATAAAAGCTTGTCATTCCATCTATTTGAAAGGCTCGACGCTCACAGCAACTATGGACACTGAGTTCTCCGTGTACTCTGCTCTCTGCAGACTAGACCACTCAAGCAGAGAGTTGTCATGAGCTGAAACCCAGAAGAATATTTAGTGATTTTTATCCTCAAGGACATCTGTTCATCCATCAGATTGTCACTAGGGGGAAGGGGGTCTAAAATTGCTTGAGGGTTTTTTGGGGGGGCTTGGGTTTTTTTTTGTTTTTTTGGGTTTTGCTTTTGTTTGTTTGTTTGGTTGGTTGGTTTTTGGTTTTTTTGCTTGAGACCATTGACTCCAAGTCTCTCCAGAGTCATAGATTGGATTTGTTTTCAAGGAGAAGGAGGAATTGTGAGAGGAGCTCCCTGGGAAAGTTACAGGGTCCTCACCTGGGCAACACTGGCATGTGTAACAGATCACTATGGAGAAATGCCAAGGTTAGGAGTGGGAAGGAAACAGTTAACACTTGGGGAGAAGTGTAGTGTGTTTGGAAGTAGCTGTTGCCATATGCTATGCATCTAAGGATGGTCATTCAAAAGGAAGACATACAGATTAAACACTCTGTCATCATGAGGGCACTTTAGTAGTTATTACTAAACTGAAAGTGGAGTGGATGGCAGGGCCTCCAGAAAAAGACAGACTTTTCATAAATCTGCCCAGAGACAGAGCCTCCTAGAAACGTTCATGACATTTACTTGAAACAGACGTGCTTGAAGGTGTCTAGGACTGTTCGATTGGGTTTTGAAACTGTAAGTACCTCCAAATCCAAAGGAATCCTTGATGGGCATAATAGTAAACACACTACAATGATATCAGCATGTAAAATGTTTTTAAAACCCAGTAATTTTACACACATACTGATGAAGTCAGACTTTTCCCCCCCTAAGAATTCTATTAGCAATTATCAGAATTCATTCATGCCCTTCAGGATTTACCAGTAAAACCAATACTCACCAATCCCTCCCACTGAATAAACTGAATTTTGCCAGAAATGCGTAAGCAAATAGAGAAATGACCTCATTTTTCAGTCTACATACAGTGCTGTTGGAGGATATATCTCCAGAGTATGACTTCAATATTGGATCTTAGTTCCACGGACAGCTTCATAAGGCCAGAGCAGAGTGGGGTGAAGACACCCTTGTGAAGGGCGCCTGTGAGGAGATGCTTTCTCCATTAGGGACAGCTCCCACAGCTAAGTCGCATGCACACACTATAGCTTTCTGCTCTCTGGCCAACCAGTGCAGCTATAGCATCTTTATTGTTATAACTCCCAGATTGGGATACTGTCACAAAGCTGTTGCTAGGCAACAAATGTGGTTACCAGGTCTCAGCGAATAGCTGAGGGGGAAGGCAAAGTGTTGCACCATTGTAGAGTAACCATAGCAATGACCTACTATTACAGACTAAAGAATTATCATTAACAATGTTAAAGTATCAGAGGCCCTGAATTCGGAGACTTCCAAGCAGTATCTGCATAATTAAGTTATTGAGGACGAGATTCCAACTGTTTCAAAGCTAACCACTCATAATTTCTATGGTGGGTATTTGTAATTATCTTTATTTTTAATTAAAAATCGATTATGAAGTTATTGGTTAAATTATATATGCTATCACAGTTTTTTAAAGCCCGGGCTATTCTTATATTCCTATGCCTACATGTTACTTGCTGTCTTTGTCAAACGAAGGTTTCCATTTGATTTGAGAAATGGTATATAGTATTCAACCCAAGCCACAGACAGAAGCTGTGGTAAGACAACCTGGTAAATGGAAAATCTCCCGCTTCTCTGAGTTCCCCTACTGAATAGGGGGGCCTAAATGCTTTCAGTGGTTCTGCTTTGAAACACTTTTTGTCTGGTTTTTCTAGATCTGTCCTCCTAAAAGCTGTAAAGCATGTGGCCCGCCTAGGATACTTTCAAGACCCCTTGAATGTGGCCCCTTTTGAATCTGGCCTTTCATTAAATATCTCCAGTGATCTGGTCCCAGTGACCTCCCTGAAGCGGTCGTGTTCAACATCAGACACTGGGACAGGCCGGAAAAAGAATTATTCCCTCCACTCTGCCTGGGAGCAAAGCCACCGAGGCGCTCAGGGGTGGGTGTGGTAGACTCGGGATCCGGCACGCAGGGGAAACCAATCCCAGGCCTGGGGAAGTGGGTGGTTTCTAGGCGGGAGAGGGAGTGGCCCTCCCCGCCGAGCTACTCGATTGGCCCGGAGGGCCGGCAATCCCCGGGCGCTCCGGGCCGCTCCACGGGCGCCTGCGGGCAAGTGCTGGCCCGGGGAGGCCGGGACCGGCGCGGGAGGCGGCCCGCCCCCGGGGCTGGCGGATCCTGGGTCCCGAAGCTGGCCCTGGAGCTCGCCGGTGGCGGTGCACTCGCCGGGAGGGCGGGGCTCCTCGCCGCCTGCGGGTGGCCACAGACACCTTGTAATCCCGGGTGTGTCTCCGCAGGCACCGACCGCCACGAGCTAACTTCCTGGAAGAGCTTCCCGTCCATCTTCAAGTTCTTCGCGGAAGCGTCGCAGGCCAAGAGCAGCTCGCAGAAGCCCACCCTGACGCGGCGCTCGCACCGGATCAAGCACGAAGAGCTGTGAGCTCGCCGCTGCCGCCTGCTATCCCGCAGCCTCCGGCCCCCATTAGGTTGCTTTCTTCCTCCAGCAGAGTCGTGTTCGTCTAAATAGTGTTTTGCATTATCTCTAGATGAGTACAACTGTAAAAGCAAGATGGACTCAGCGGCCGCCTTTCCTGCGGGCTGAGCGGGGACTTGGCGCTGGGGCCGGCGGCCGACAGTGGCTGAGAGCGCCGGAGCCCCGCGCCGCTCGGCTCCTAACCTCCCCTGCGAGCCGCCGGTGTGAGCGAGCAGAGTCTGCGCGGTCCTACCGCCCGCTGCAGTGCGGCCGCTGCTGCCCAGCCTCAATCGTGCCCAGTTTCACTTCCCCTTAAGCCCAGCAAGCTTTTTTTCTAGACTTCAAACTTTGATTTTAATCAAGTTTTCCCCTACCCCTCTTTTATAAAAAGCCACACACCCGAGTCCTAGAAATGCCAACTTTAAATTGAGAACACGAATGCCATGATGTATGTACTATGTAGTTTGGGGAATACAAATTATTCCCTCCCTGTAACGGACCTATTTCCTTTCAAGACCAAAAGAAAAACTGCATAGAAATACATAGAGTACTGAATTCGAGTCCTTTTTTCTGGACGTTCCTGCCGAGTTGAGGGAGAGTTTTCATGTCTCTGACTTCCGGAGAGAATGTTCAAATGAAAACATAAGCAACTATTTTAGATGTAGGTATGAGGCCCCATTTTCAGTGAAATTTCTAACTTACATAACTGAGCCTACTGTTAAATGTGTAACATGATTTGTGGCACTTAGAAAATACACTTAAGGCTTGCTCTCTGTGTATTACGGTGCAGAGAGTTGGTGGTAGTTACTAATCTGTACTAAGTGTACTTTGACCTTTCTTGTAAGTGAACCTTTTCAGATACAGGATTTTTTTTTGCTATCAAGAAAATGAAACTGCATACTCCAATCCTTCTGAAAGGCTATGTAAGGTTACAGTGCGTCAGTTTTCATCTACAATAGGAAAAGAGAATGATTTTCTCTTTTAGGTACACAATTTTTAGTGTTCCACTTCCTCTGATAGGGTGTTGTCCTATAATTCCAACTGTTAGGTCCTTTACCCCAACTGGGATCTGTGGAACACTGTAAAATACAGAAGGTAAAATAAGTTGACATTTTGCTGGCTTTCAAATTAAAACATTAAACATGAATTACTTGAATAATTAGTGAAGATCCTATCCAGTGGGTGAGATTGTGAATTTAATACTTCCAATCCTTTCTTAAGTGAATGCAACAAGTAATGAGTCTGTCTTATTTGAAAACATGCAAAAGTATATACAAAATGATACTCAGGCACTGCCTAATGCCTCAGAGTAACCAGAACTCAACACACTTATGGAGAATTTTTTTAACACTGTGAACTGATTTCAGAAAGTTTTAGAACTGTTAATATCCCATGTTGTTTGACATATAAATGCACTCAATAGTTCTGTGTTTTCAATACCTGGGAAGTAAAGGACCAGTGATCGTGTCTGGACATCTTCTGATATTACTTATTAAGAGGAAGATCAAAATGGCATTTTATCCAACTCCTGAGCCGTTTAAAATGTGTTACTCCAATAATGTCAAGCACAGTGCTCTGTCATAGTGGCCCTTCTCGTTTCTAATTGTAGAGGGATTGGTGAACTCTGTAAAGATAATGCTGTCCTCTCAATGACTGGCTTTGAAAAAGTGGTGTGGGTTGAATACATCTTACCAAATGCTATAAATTATCTGGTGTTTTCAATATATGAAAATATGCACAAGAAACTAATTTTGTGACATTAAGACAAAATCATCACTCAGGCAGAGATAAATTTGGGAAGCTTCTGCTGCTGAATTGAAGGAAAGTAAATGTGCTGAGCTTCTGAACCAGAGGGCTCCTGGCCCTCCTCCAGGTCCCTCAGTTTTACAGAGAAAGTCACTGCTTCCTTAAGATGAGTTGTTCACAATCTCTGAATTGTAACCTTGTTGTCTATCTGATAGAGAGCTGTTTACAAAGCTATATTTTGTAAATGTCTGTTACTACTTATGGATCTGCACTGTAGCAACCCAGAGGGAGCCAGGCAAAGCCTTCCAATGATAAGTGATTCCTTATAATGTAGGGTTTCTTAACCTGTTGATTGGGATGCTATCCGTATATGTATAATAATACTATTCACCTCAGTGGCCAGTGTTAATAACAGCTCTTCTCCCTGTAGTTTCCTTTAAAAGATTCTAGGCCCGTGGTGGTCTGAAGGTAGACTGTGGGCTTTTTTAATTTTCTTTACTCATATGCTTATTTCTTAGAGTAAAAAGATTGAGAAAGACATAAATTGGAGATGCAGAACAGTCCTGATGAAGCTTCAGTGCCAGGCAGTTGCTTTGGATCTTTCTAAAAGGGACCTGACAAGAAGTCCTTGAAAGCCAGCCTGAGTGTGTGAAAGACCATCTACTCATAACAATTGTCCTTTCCTCACGCTTCTGCCTTGTGCTTCCTGGAATGCTGCATTGCTTATATGTCAAAAATAAACAAAGCACAGGAGTTTCCTTTAATGTCTTTTCTGTTTAACATTTTAAAATAAAAAAGTTTTCCAACAAGCAACTGTGTATCTTTCCTCCTCAGTTTTTTTCATCACCTGCAGAGGCTTTCAAAGGTGAGACCTAGAAGGAGTAACTGGACTATATTCATCAAATTATAAGCCCTATAGCTGTTATTATTACTATTGTTATTGCTGTGAGGCAATATCCTGACTTTAGTTGAGTCTCTACTTGGCTCATACATGTCATAAGGTAACATTTTTAGTCAAATGTTTCTAATTTGTAAGTAAGGAAATTGGAAAAACTTGTCCTTAAAATTATTTCTAAAATAACTACTAGTATACAGTAAATGCATTTTTCAAAAGGAGCTGGTAAGACTAAGTTGTTCCCAAAATGCTGATGGTCAGACCTTGATAAAGTGTGTTCAGTCCAAAACTGGCTTGTTTACATTCATGTTACTGCTATTCCTTCTGAAGCCTTTCACACCTTTGAGGGGGTTTGGGTGACAGAATTTAGTGTTAACTTAATTAGCACTGCTAATTTAAAACTACATTTTTTTCATGTTTCTCTGGATTGCAGAGTTCAAATCCAAGCATGTATCTTATATGTTGTAATCATTGTTTAGATTGCTAACTGATAGGCTCCTGTTGGAAGCTGTTAAGAAAAATTACTATTAAGTAACTTTCACAGTATAAAATTTCACAGTGTAAATTTTTTGGCAACTTTTCTCATATCTTGTGGGGAGAGACTGAAAAAAACAAACCTGAGGCATTCATGTACTTGAAAGATGGGTGGCAAAGGGGGATAATTGTGGTGACTCCTTATATACCCTCCAGCATAATTGTGTTAAATAAAAGACGCTGAGACATACCCCCTTCAAACCCTGTAATACTTCCCTTCCGTCCCTGTGCAGAATGACTGACTGGGGGTCTCTAGGATTGTTCATCTTCTTTTTATCTAATACTCTATTAATCTCCCCCAAAAAGATCAGTTTGAGTTTGGGAAAGGGTTTTTAATCAACACTTCACAGAGCTTAAAGCTACTCCACCTAAAGCATTAGCTTTGTGAGGTTGTTTTAGATTAAACCATTGCAACTGCCATGCACTGTACTCAAAGAATATACACCAACTGGAAGATGTTGGAAGGGGGTTAACACAAAGTGTATTGAGAGGGTCCAAGAATAGAAATAGTTATCAAAGCTGGCCAGAATTTATCCTGAAATCTGCATTTTTAAAATAGCAATGACAATTTTTAAAACTCACCCTTAGAAGGGATTGATGTTAATTTAATTGATTCATTTGGATCAATGTTTTTAAAGTTTCACACCATTGCTTTCATGAAGTGATGTCTTTAGCAGTCAGTAGTTTGACATTAGACTTCTCAGATTCCATCAGTGGGACCCTCCATGACATCTAAAACTATGCAACAGCCTGTGTCATGGTAACTTTGGGACTGGGAGAACTCAAGGCTAATGTGACCTATAAAATGAAGAATTCTTGTTAGTTCTCAGTTTAAAGGTTTTATGGGAATAATGATGGAAAATGGAGCACAAAAGCTTAAGATTTGCTATTTAGAGAAGGCTGTCCTGAAGGTTTGATTAATAACTGGATATCATAGGGTGGCCAGTATTTTTCCTGTGGATATAAAACCTAGAAAATGAAATTTTTGACTTAATCTATGATATCTTTCCAGGCAACTTTTCTTGAAGTGTGTCGGAAACATTTCACTATACTTTCTTTGTTGGAGTTAAACTTCCTTTAAATAGCTATGAATCATATTTCTAGGAAGAGATGTATAAAGGTCTTGCACCTGTCTCCAGATCGTTCAGTGTTGTCTTGTACATTGGGTGTTATGCAAAATTGTCATAGGTGAAATGATATTGAACTTACTCTGTGACCAAAGCAAAGAATCTGAAATAAAAAACACCCAGCACCCCAAAAATGATATCTCTTTAAAGTTTACAATTTGAATAATGAACTCAGATAGAAAGTTGGCAGGAAAGCAAGCCACGGCAGGCACCGTCACATCACAAACCATTCTCACTTTCCGTCCAATTTCAGAGTGCATGTGTTTGTGAGTATTTCACTAGATCAGTGACAGCTCTTTATTTGCATAATTATATGCTCTGGTCTGAAGAGAAAACTAACCCCCAAATTTCATGGGTCACCAGACTGCAACAATCAATGTTTTATCACGTATGCGAAGCAAAACCTAAGAAGCTATATGAAGTTTCTTGGTGAGTTTTTACTCCTCAGAAAATTAAAGAGTTTTCCTCTCCTGAATAGATTCAAAATCTTTCCGAGTTCTTTGTAACAGTTCTGTTTGAAGGCAAAACCAGAGATTAACATGTAGATGTGGTTGTAGACTCACCAATGTTGCTTCAAAGTGGATTAAGAAGAACAGCATTTTTGCTGCACTAAACCTTAAAATTCTTCATACTGTGAGGAAAAGTATTGGTCAGATTATGATTTGCCAAAATGAATTCCAAATTAATTACTATTTGATATAAAGTTCATTTCCTTCCTTAAAATACCTCAGGGTTTTTAAGACCAAATAGAAAAAAGTTATGTGCATATACGCATATATATGTCTCATGTATACATAGCTTTGTATGGAGTACTTATGTTCATTCCTGTTCATTTCAACTGAAATTTACAGATGACATATACAATATTTGTATGTCTATTTAGTGCCTGTAACATAGTAGGTGCTCTGTATGTGCTGGTCTCCATGAAAGTTTGTAATTTTTTATGAAATAGATTTTTCATGCTCAAAATCTTCAAGGCATTGCAATAAATATTTTTAAATATCTCAAGCTTGTTTTGCATCTGTAAATTTCTGCTGGCATATAATACATGTCTGTGTTTAAGGTTGGCTTTATTTCATTAAAGAAAATTGATTTAAACTGCTAATGTCTTTAGTTTGTAGGCACTCTGCCAATTTTGAATACAAAAGAGCATAAAGACACATGCAGACCATGGGTGGTGGTGGTTGTTTTTTTATGGAGTTATTAAAACCCTGGAAAATTCTGTCTCTACTTAGTTTCTTAAGGAGCACAAGGTGGCCAGCGCACTTTTGTAAAAGCACTGGACTATGAACTTTACTTAAAGTTTCTTCAGACAACATGCTAGACCCAAGAAAAGAGAAGCACTTGGGAGAAGCTGAGAATGGTGGCGTTCCAAGTATTTTATTCTGTCTGAATATTGAGAGGTCTTTAGAGTTGGGGATCAGAAACTTCCTAAATTGTTGCCATTATTTCAATGAAAAGCAAATTCCTTGCCCCCAAGTTTTAAATTCAAGTTGAATTATGAATGAAAACTATTTTTTCTGGTTCTGATCATCTGAGAAATCACACCTCTGCTTGGAAAGGAGTGTGATTGTCACCTTTGTACTGTCCTAGTGAGATGCTGCTCATACCCTCTGACACCCTCCCAGGAGTTTCTGTCTGGACTGAAGGCCTGGGATTCCTCTAGGTAGAAACTCCTCAAAGGGAAATCTGTAAAAACCAGTAAACCCAAGTTTAGAATTTTGTTCAAATAGAACTAAAGGTTAGAAAACTGTGTTCTTCTGGGCCAGATAAATGACATTTCAATTAAGGAAGAAACTCTTGGAAGAAAAATAATAGACAATATTTATAGTTACCTTTTCTCTGCTTTCCCTTTGTGAAAGCTTTCTGTTCTACTCTTCCAAGAATGGAGAAAAGTCTGTCATTTCCCACTCAACTCTACACATGAGGGGAAGAACAGAGTCTCCCCCTTCTGTCATGTATGTTTGTCTTTGTTCAGATACCACCTAATTCTTACACTATCTGAAAAGTTGTCTCTGGCCCACTCACCCTCACATGCCTCCTGGTAATCTTTCAAAAGCTTTCCATCTTTTTAAAATCATATGTAAGTGGTTTTTAAAGAAGCTTGTACCTTCCCTGGATTATCAGCTGAAGAAATATAGTGTGTTGCAGTGTGGGGGTGTTTTCTACCACCTCTGAACCCCTACCTCTTTTGTTTTTGTTTTGCTTCAGTAAGTTACTTAATATCATCCCCTGGAATAACCAGCTCTAAAAATAACAATAGTTCAGAGTGACATGATTTGGCTTTCATGCAGTTTTGAAAGAAAACCATTGAAATTGCATTGATCTCACAAATATTGATCTAGTGCTTGATATCAAATATCAAATGAGATACCGCCAGTTGCCGCTGATCACTGTGTCAGCTGTTTGAATTTGTGTCCTCTTCCTTCTTCACTGTCACATGGACTCAAGTTGCTGAGGATACATAAGATTTTAATGATTAAAACAATGTCAAGTCTTTTCCTGTTTCATACCATTCTGGCTTTACTAAACATAGTGAATGATCTGTTATATCATGTGTGTACAGTGTTTCTCAAGAATGGCTCCTTACTGGATAGCTTAAATTTCTATTTGCAGTCCTTTGCCTTAATAATGAAATTATTTCTAACTGAACCTTGCTTTCTTTCTGATCACCAGCTTTTTAAAAAAATCAAGATTGTGTGCTTTTTAATCATACATAGCTTTACAACATAGAATGAATTCTTAGCCATACCCTACAACATGTAAGTCGCTCCTTTCACTCTTGTTGACAAAAAATGTAACTACAGTATTTCACAAATGTAGAATTCAAAGAAGTATTTAGATGAAAAGTACCTTTCCCAATCAGGTTTGAGCCACCCCAGCACTCTGGAAATAGCTAATTATCCTATTCTCGGGTATATTTAGAGTCTCAGGAATACTTTTTCTTTTTTCTTTCCTTTTTATTTTGCACATCAGCAATTGCTGATTACATACTTTGAAATGCAATATGCTTTAGGAAGGAAAATACCCTACAACAATGACCAGTTAACACTGCCGTCTACACTGTAATGACCCAGAAATAAAAGTGGTACCAGCCTAGATTATTTTTAATTGCACCGCCACTTTCATTTTCTCCACATTTGCTAGGAGGGAAATTTTCTTGTCCTGAGAGCTGGTGTCCCTTTCCAGTTTCTACACCTTGTCTTGATTTGGAGACAGCGGAAACAAGACAACTTGAAGGCTCCCTGCTCTCCCCAGCACCATGGACAGCTCCCAGAGCCCCCCTTTCTCCTCCCCCTTGGCCAGAACCCCAAAGTTCCAGCCACTCCCCTCCCCCCTCGCCATGGAATATTCTCTTCTGAAACCTCAGGATCTGAGCCCAAAACAACAGTAGCTTAAAGACTGGTTTGTAGGTGGAGAGTCTTGCCTGCTCACAGCCCGGTGTTGATCGGAGCACCGAGAGATGATGCTCTATTAGACTGCTAATCTCCCGAATTTGCATCTAGTCTAAGCAAAACGTAGCTCCACCCAGTAGTCGCTGCCGTGGAAAGGGTCTACCCTCCCACAACCCAAACTTTCTTGAAACAACTTTTCATCAACAGCCTTTAGCTGGCAAGATCTGTATCAACTCCGCTTTAAAAGCGTTTCCGTTGAGACCACTTTGTTCATAGGCCTATAATCTCAGTCGCCACAAATCCGTGTTTGAAAAAAAATGTCCATCCAGACTCAACAGCTCCTGGTTCCACCATCTTCCTGGTGTCTGAAGCTCTCTAACTCTGGGGAGCCTAGGAACTGCTTAGTCACCTCTCCGAGCAAACGAAGCCTCTCGCACCAGCAGGCGGCTAAAGAGTCTGGCAATAACTAATTTGACAACGCCCAAAAGGGGAGCCTTTGACTCGCACCCGCCACTTTTTCTCCTCTGCAAACCTCCGTCCTAGCTGAGTTTTCAGTAAATCTCCTTGTTTAGTTCCTCCCCCCACCCGTTTAGTACACACACACACACACACACACACACACACACACACACACACACTCCCAATTGTGACGATGAGCAAAGTGCTGTAATGGAAGACCATTCCCGGTGGCATCTGGTTCATGGCATAGTCGCCCTGGCAACCCCAGCAGCCACTCCCAAGACAAATTTTTACAGATTCCAATATAACACCTTGTTTTATTGAAAATATCGACTTATTTAATTGGCTTTGAGTGAAATCTGTCCCCTCCCATCAGAACACAGTTCGGATCGTTGCTTTCCTGAGTCGTTACTGGGATTTAAAAAAACATCATGTTGGGACGAGTGAGACAGTCAAAACCAAACATCTATTAAAGACTGAATAAAGTCCTCTCCAAACCGACTTAATGCAAACTAACTTCTCCAGTAAGGGTGATAAGTAAATGAACCGGGGAAAGAGCCCTAGTGTCTCCTGTGATATTCCCCTGGCAAACGGGATTCCAGGGATTCCACACGGCTCAGCATAATCACGCTTTTCACGCGAAGGATACGATGCATTTCCGAAGAAAACTTTTCTCTGACACCACATTATAATAAAAAATGTCACTAACTCTCTCAGTTTAGCGGCAACTTAGACGCGAAGCATCATGTTTTTCTTTCCAGTGAAACACACAAATAATTGGTTAAATCTGTCACTGGTTAACAATTCCATTTCTTTTCTCAGAAAGGCTCTGAGAAGCTTTCCCTCTCATTCAACCCTGCCCATGATCTTTATGCCCCCCCCACTGCAAAGTCACTCAAAGAGAGTTTTCCTCTTAGTTTGACCATCACTTACATCTTATTTGTCGATGTGTATAAACCCCATGCTACCCGAGAAACTCAGTCGTGCTGGAAGCAGTTTAAACTAGCAGCTGGACCCTCTAGGAAAACTGATGAAAACTCACCTAGCTTAATGCAATTTGGCAGCTGGAGTGTTCGAGGTTAAAATAGGACCTGTTGAACTTAGTGACTTGGGACTCACTTATTCTGGCCAAAAGGCACTTCCCCCATCTTAATTCACAGCTGAAATATCTCAAGGTGTTTGCAAGTCATTGGTTGGTGTTTTTGTTTTTGTTTTGTTGTTTTGTTGTTATTGCTTTATGAACTGTTTCTACTTCTGGAGCAAAGGAGACTTGGGTGTGAGGAAAGGCCCAAGGTTTTCCTTTGTCAATAGGAAGCCAGAGTTGAGACTGAGATGGAGCTGAGTGAACCCCTAGGCTTTGCTCTCAGTATGGATACTGGGAGACCTTTTTCCTCCATGCAAGCTTTCCTTATTAATAAGATTTTTGACATTAAAGAAAATTATATTCCTGTTTCAGTTTCAGAATGAATTTCCTGGGTTACTTAAATAAGTTAGAAACTTCCAGACATAGGAGTATATTTTAAGACCATTTTTCCCCAGAGAAAACAGTGAATTTAAAAAAAAGTCTGAGCTTAGTTTCCTCAGTTTCTATATTGCAAAACATTGAGGATATAGATTAGGTAAGACTCCATGAAAGAAGACTCTATCAATGTTTGTTACCTGCCTGTATGTGTCTGGTGGAACTTTAAGTCTTCCTAAAGCATAGGTGACTTTTTTTCTCCTTTATTTTTTCAAGCGTCTCATTCCAACTCTATCCAGTGATTACTGATGTCCTAGCCATTAAAAGATTCCTCAAATCTTTTAACGTTTCTTCTACCTTGACCACTTTTGTAATGTATATTATAAAAGAATAGGCTCCATGAAAGAATTGGGGAGGGTGGGAAATAGAAAGTTCTATTTGTGGAGATTCCTTGGGGAAGGGAGAAGTGTAAGTCATAACTACCAAGTGTCAACAGGACAGGAATAGTTAAAAGTGCTGAAAAAATCATCTGGAGGCAGAGGGGGCCTTTTAGTTCCCAAAGCTACTCAGGAAGTTATCCAGATTGCCTGATGCCTGGCTCCCCACCCCCCCCCCCCCCACTCCCATGGCTTGCCCAGGGAGCTTACAGATTGAAGGTCAATTCTGCATTTCTTTCCTGGACTCCTTACTAGCCAGACTGGACTTCAGATAATTCAGTTTGGGAGATGGCTGGGTCATTGCATGGGGGTTACTCCCCCTTTTAAAACAGCACTACAATCTCAGCCTTTTCTGACGGAATTAAAGGCTTTGTGACAATTTTGTCCTTTGGTATGGAAAAGAAATCACCCATTCTTTTCATGAGTGAAACTTTCAAAGAACTATAAAATAAACTATGTACTTTTGCATCAACTTTTTAGTAAGTAGGTATATTATAAATTTAAATAAGTGATTAGAGTTATGCTTTAGCTGTTGGGTGATTTAATATTAGAGGGACAAACATAGTTCGTTTACAATTTAACCAACTTTCGCAACTCAAACGTTTCTGAAAAACAGAATCTGACTACATTCAATTTGGAAAAGAGTCTAAAGTAGTATCTTAGGAAGGCAACATAATAAATGAAATCTTTAAGTAAATGGTTAGGGGAAGATTTGTAAACACCTGAGGACCTAGCGATCCTTGGAAGGTCAACGAACTTTAAATGTTCACAATCAACTCAACCTTGAAAAAAAGTAGTGCCATTTGCTTAACTTAATCTAGAACATATGCTTCCAACAGTGGCAGGTTTTCTGGTGTGTGGCTGGGGATGATCAAGTTGTAAATTTTCCTCTTTAGGTTTTCAGCACCTGCTACTTTCAGCCTAACACCTAGAAACTTTGCCGGAATCTTCCACAAAGCAACGAAGATTTTACAAAAGGTTTCCAAACCACTCGGCTCCGGATATTATTGATATTCCCAAAGGTGGAACATTTCTATATAAATCAGTTCCCAAAGCCTAAAGATAAGTTCAGCCTCTGTTCTCTCAATGCCCTGTGTTCACAAAGATGCATGCCTTCCCGCACGGACATCGCCTTCCCCACCTGCAGCACTCTCCCTACCGGGCACACAGTGCTGCAAGGGCAGTAGGCTCTGTGGAAATGACATCTTCACGTAACAGAGCACTGTATAGGTCCTTTAGGCTCGACTTCATTTTCCTATCAGAAATTTAGAACTATTAGTTTCTCTCTCTCTTTGTGCTTCAACACCAAATAGCCCCCCCAAAGTGTTTTGAATATCTGAGTATCACTTAATTGTTAAATTTTGAATCCACAAGTCACTCTTCATTTAAGACAAGCTTTGTGGTAATTTTTATTAATCGTATTTAAACATGTATCTGTTCTCATTGATTTTTTTTCAACATTTGGGCTTTAAATAGGGTAGACCACATTTTATGTCAATTAACGATACAGCATGGTCTCAAACGAGGCAATAATGGGGATGGAAGGGGGAGTGAAGGGTGGACTCTGCTGGTCACCTCAAGGGTTTTAAGCAAGTGTCTGGACTTGCTGATTCATCTTCTTCCCAAAACCCTCTATCAGATTGCTAGAGGAAAACTTTAGACACTTTCTGAAATGTATCAGAACAAGTAAGTGAGTCACAAGTA